TCGGATAAGGTAGCCTTGAGCTCACCATTGTTGTGCAGTTCCATCACAATGTCACAGCCTCCTATCAACTCTCCTTTGTAATATAGCTGCGGAAAGGTTGGCCAGTTTGAGTATGCCTTTAATCCTTGCCTCACCCCCTCATCGGTTAGAATATCGAAAGAACCAAAATCGACTCCCTTCTCCTTCAGGGCATTTACAACTTTGGAGCTAAAACCACATCTTGGAGCATCTGGAGTACCCTTCATGAAAAGCGTTACAGGCGATGAATTTACCAACTGTTTAAGGCGATCTTCGAGGGTTTCACCAGACGAGATCCCTTTCTTGGATAGAACCTTCTTAAGTTCTTCACTCTTTTGCATCTCCAACACGATGTCTGATCCACCAATGAGTTCGCCCTTTATGTATAGCTGAGGATAACTCGACCAGTTTGAATAAACTTTAAGGCCCTGACGAACCTCATCATCACTAAGAATGTCAAAACTCCCAAATTTGACTTTCTCCTGTCTGAGAATGTCAACAACCTTGCGGCTGAAACCACATCGCGGTTCGTCGGGTTTTCCTTTCATAAAGAGCATGACTTCACTTGAATTTATCAGACCTTGCAGTCGAGAAGTCAGAATTGTGGTCAAGCCTGAAGGACCCGTAATGCCTCCCTGTCCACCATCATGTTCGGTAGCTTTTATCTCACTGGGATCAGAGATTTCAACTCCATGATCTTTGAAAACTTCTTGTAGCTCACCACCTTCATGCATAGCAATTGCGATATCACACCCACCAAGCAGTTCGCCCTTACAGTATAGCTGAGGAAACGTTGGCCAGTTGGAAAATTTCTTCAATCCTTCACGAACCTCATTGTCTGTCAATATATCAAAACTTCCAAATTTAACCTTTTCTTTCTTCAATATGTCAACTACTTTTTGACTGAAACCACATTTGGGGGATTCGGGGCTCCCTTTCATGAAAAGCATAATTGAATGAGAATTGACAAGCTGCTCGAGTCTCTTTTTGAGTAGGTCACCAGCACCAGAAGGTGATAGGCTCCCTACCCGACCAGAACCATTTTCTTTAGCAAACTCCTGAACTGTTTCAAGAATAGTAGGTCCTGCAGCCATACCGAGGCTAGCAGGAGCAGCAGGTTCCCCAGGACTGATTGATCCAGCAACTTTGGCTACCTTGTTGGCCAAACTAGTTGGGTCAGCACCTTCCAATGTATCAACTGCAGTGCCATCCTAATAGAATCAAAGTCAATTTCTCTAGATCTCTTTACGGTAGGTTACAGGGAGAGAGGATATATATAAATAATTATATATGCACGTATGTATATCCCACAACCAAGCTCAAAGATAATTAACTCAAGAGGCAAACCAGCTGAGCCTCAAAGGGGCTAACAAATGCCATGTCTTGCCAATCTACTACCTAGCAGCATACTTGCAGTTACCGACTATACAGACATATATGGTCAACAGCAACCACACACAGAGAAAAGAAAAAAGGCAACAGATAATGTTATGCACCCATTTAATCAGAAGTAACAATAAGAACGGTACCAAACTGAAGATTTTGGAGCTAAACTTAAAGTGGACTAACATATGCAAACCTTTTAATGAAGGGAATCAGGACTGAGGATGTTCGAAGGAATGAATTATGCGGCACCAATGAAGCCTTTTTGGCAATTTGTAGCAACAAAGATACAGTATCAGTTGATGGGTGCATAACATTTTACTGAAGAATCAGAACCTAGTGATTGATATTGGTCTTCAGGAAAGATATTGCAGATTAAAGATAAAACCCCAAAATTCATTTGGGTACCAATTTAATAATGCAACATGCTAATTGGCACCTTTTAAAGACTTAAGGTTGCATTTCTCAGAAAATATATCAAGGAAATATAATAGTCACAACACCCAATATTTGTTCTATCATGGAGAATGGCAATGCACGAGATTAACATCGAGGTGATCATTTATCCAAGAATGATTTTTGTTGTCAAATGATTGAACAACTCGGTAGCAACTTACTTATGATATTAAGCTGATATTCATAAAAAGCATCCGTTGAATTATGAGTTAACTACAATATGTTTAGCAAAAAAATGAGGGTATTCATGCACTCATTCCATTACCCACGTAATAGTTAGAAATAATGCTATTTGTCATCACGACCATCATCACCCTACGTGGCAACACAATTGCATTAAATGATAGTTCTAATTAAACGTGCAGGGATATGGAACCCATGTTGTTGGATCTATAATTCAATGCTATCTAAACATAATGACGGCCAGTGATAACAAATAGCATAACTCAATAGTTAGGGAGGATAAAAACAACACTATAACTATCATATATAACCGGAAAATTATCGTGGAAGACAGGGCAAATGATTATAACTTCTCTATAGGTGTAGTACCTTAAAGAAAACAAAATAAGGCACGGCAGAAACAGAATATGCCTCAGAGATTTCTGGTTGTTCTTCAGCTTCAACCTACAACACCACAAGGGATGTTAGCAATGCAGCACATAACTTGTGAAAGTTCTCTGACGTTCAGTTTCTTTACATGCTAGCGTTAGAATCACATGGCAAACAGGGTTAAAGTAAATTATCGTGTTTGAATCACTCAGAGCAAGAATGAGAGAAGACAGGCAAAAAGAAAAGATATAAAGGTTACGAAGCAAAAATTGAAAGTTTTGAGATTTATATTCCGAATTCATAAAATATGCTTAATCTGTTATTGCTGATTAGAATTAGTTGAACCCAGACCAGCTTTGTATTTCCCATGGTTTGACCTTTGAACAAAACACTGGACTCCCATCTATCCCTGAAAATCGAAACGGGAGAAATTTAAGAAATAACCATTCTAATCGGCCTGAGTAGGTTAGGCATGAGAATGCCATCTATACCCCTTATCCCCTCTCTATCAGATTCTTACAAATTGAAAATCATGCACTCACATAGAGAGAAAGATAACAAGTAACAATACAAGCATTGTCTCCGTAGCAAATAATTAAGGGGCTGTTCTCTTCGTATTTCAATTTTTAGTTTTGAGGTTTGAATTCATTTTGGATTTTATGTTTTGAGTGTCCATTTTGAGATTGCTGAAAACACGTTCTTTTTGTCATTTTGAAAAATTGTTTACCAAAAAAAAAGAAAAAAGTTTTGGCTTATTTTAATTGAAAACAGCCAAAACGACTTTTTTGGCGTTTTCCATTTTTTGTAAATTTTAAACTCGTTTTTGGAAATTCGTTTCTGAAAGTGTTTTCGAAAACTGAAAATGGCCCGAAAAAACGGGCCCTAACATTTCCTTTCCACAATTTGCTAATTCTCTGATGGCCAAGTACCTTTAACCTATATTAGGGGTAATTAAGAAAAGGAATTTTCTAGAAATACATAAGAAAAGTAGAATCTCAATTTGTTTATTCCTTTTCATTCTTTTTCCCTTACCCGTTCTTTGCTTTCCCCCAAACCTGATTTGAATGATTCTCACAAATTGAAAACCAGCGTTGCATAGATTGATTAGCATACATTTGAACCAAGTTAAGGTAATAACCAAGTGAACTGCTCCACAGTCAATTTATAATAAATTGAAAGGCCTTATCTTTTTCTTTCTTTCTAATAATTAGAATTAAAATTCCAACCAACCATTGCTGCTTTCTTTTTGTGGACACTCAATCTACCAGAAAATAAATATTTAATAGAAAATTTTAACCAAATTATAGAACTAGAAATATATGCCATCTCATCACAACCTTAAAAAAAAAAAATTATTATAAAACCGTGTGGTTTTGATAGAGAGTGAAAGGGGTAGGTATAAACCCGGTAGAAGTGGGCTAGAGGGAAATCAGTGGAGAGATGAGTGAAAACTTGGTCCATGTGCTTGGAGGCCTCGCACCAAGGCGCCCAGAAATGTAAAATGACCGGAGAGCCTTCCCCAATGGTTTGATCAAGCGCCGCCTTCGATTTCACCTCCTTCACCGCTCCTCCTCCTCCTCCTCCTCCGACGCCTGCCATTATTTCTAAGAGATTCTACTGACTTTTGCTACTCCAAGCAAAAGAACAAAGAGGAAGAAGAATCTATTCGAGAGGGAAGTTGAGCATTCGGGTTATAAAAGCGGTCCGAGGCCATTTTCATCCCCGCAAAGTCGCATATTCTTGAAAATGCGATTTTTGTTTTAACAATTACTTTGGGTAAATTTATGCAAGTAACTTCTTAATTTTCAAATTCCATTAAAAATATTATTTATTTTGAAACTTGCTCTCTTTACTTAAAAGTTAAAAGTAACCCTTCTGAACTGAGCCAAACCTACTAATAAAGTTACTAATTTGAAATATATTTTGTAGCTAAAAAGGCTGAATTTTAATTATTTACCTACTTGCGTATTTTATTTTCACAATACTCGATAACGATGATAAGGTCAATAGCTAATATAGTAATAAGTGCAAAATTTATTGAAAACTAAAGCAATTAAGCTAGTTTTCACTCAATTTCAAAACTAGTAGAGAAATCATATAAGTTTCAATATTGTCATTCCGCTAGAATAATTGGATATAACATTCGCTCAAAAACCTAATATAAAGCAAATGAATAAATGTTGTTATTTGATAGCTAGAGTTGTCGTTTATCTATAAAAATTCATAGCTTTGGTGAAAATGATTAAGTCCTTATTTGATTGGAATTAAAATCAGATTTTCAGTAAATTTTAATAAAAGTAGATGAAACGTATTGTTGAAAAGTTGTGGGTATCATGAAAAGTTGTCCATTGAAGGAGTAGTCTATGATGGTAGTGATGACCTCGAGCCACAGGGAAAGCAAACTTAGACTACGACCAAGGAATATGATTCTTTCTCATCTATTCGACTTTACTTTGCTACATTATATTTTGATGGAGGAACGTGATCTTTCTTGTCTTTGTCCTTTCCCATACGATAATGTTGTCTAGTTCATTTTACATTCATACTATTAATATATCTTTTCTGATTGATAATTGAAAAAATAAATCTTCCGTGGTCGATTAAGTTGCTTAATTCTATGAATAACATCCAATTCAGAATGTGTGAAGTACTTGTGTTCCCTACACTTCTCTTCGGCTAGTTACTTATTTTATGGGTTCTCCAAATTACAGGGCATGCTGTTTCAGGAACTTTACTATATAAATCCTCCTAGAGGCCTTCACTTGAATCAATCACACAAAAATGGCGACACAAAAATGGTTTTGCCTTGCAATAATGGCACTAATGTTAAGTCTAGCAGTCTGCACTGCACACAGAAACCTTCCGGGGACGAAGTCTGAAAACGCAAAGATTTTCGACAAACCCCCGATGACCATGTTCCCACCTGACTTTTATCGCAACTGTGGAGGAGGTGTCGGTGGTGGTAGTTGTGATGATTGCGGTGGAACTCCTGCTGGTGGTGGTGGTGGTGGTGGTTGTGGTGATTGTGGGGGCAGTGGTGGTGACGGAGGAGGATATGGAGGCTTTGGTGGTGGATATGGTTCTGGGGGTGATGGATACATTCCCCCGCAATTCACCATCCCCTTCCCATGGTTTTTTATTCCTGGATTTCCACCTCTGAATGAGCCTTACCAATGCTGTCCCAGCAGTTGTGGTAATTCACATGATCATTGTCCAAGATTTACCTTGCACCTAACCCACGACAAACCAAATCCCAGTGGGTCGAAGTTCCTTATACCAGGATTCGCACCTCTGAATGGTGTTTACGAATGTTGTCCAAGAAGCTGTGCCTGCGAGAATCCCCATCATTGTCCTGGATTTACAATGTACTCAAATGTTGGTATGCCGATGCATAACAGTGAGGGCAATCATGATGCAACTCGACCAGATATGTCGACCGTTGAGGCCATGGCCCCGGTATCTAACTAAGTCGGATTTCAGGTGTATTTTTCTACCAAATAAACTATGAACCACTGCATAGATACTTGTAAAGAAATCAAGTTCATTCTGATACAACTTTGAAATTATTTCAAGATTCCCATGTCAAAAGAAAATAGATAAATCCCTGAAATAAACGAAAACCAAAGCACGATAAAAAGTCATCTATGTGAACTTTGATTAGTTCTTACTCTCCTTCAACAATGTTGACATCTGCCCAATTCTCTGCACTATCAGTACGTCGAATGCTGTGGAGTCTTGTGTACAAGTCCACTTGAAAAATAACAGCATTGATGTTCCCTTCATCGCCTTGTCGTGAAATTCCTTGTACCTTATGAAGCGAATAATCAACACTAATTAACACGCTGCCACTTAAAATAAGCAGCCTGCAAAATTCGCAAACTGGGAATTCAGCACTCGACTCTGCTTAATCTGTACAAAGAGGATTATTAGATTGAGAGTGAGTGTAACCTGGAGGGAAAGGGGCGTAGCATTTCCCACAAGAAGCTGAGATTACATTTGGATCATCGGTGCATACTAAGGAGCCGTCAGCCGCAGTTCCCCAGTGAAGTTGCAAGCATCCATCACGGTCCTGAAAACATTACCAAAAAGTTGAAATTTACAAACCCTTAGTGCATACTTGGTACAGAGTATTAAACTAGATTAGACTACAATAGATAACTCGAGGCCGGCTACTTGAATATGTGACATTCGGTTCAATTTATTGCTTAAATCTACTGAAAGATCATTAGAACTATCTATATATGCACTAAAATATTCGACTCACCCCGAGCAAGGAAAAGGACTGAAGCTTTTGAGTCGAACAGAATGAAAGCAAATTTTCCGTCAAGTTCTTTGACGACTTGATCGGGAGGATATGGTGCTCGATCGCGCAATACTTTATAAACCTTGACTATGATCATGGCTTCCGTTGCTTGTCGCGAAAGGCCATAATATCGTCGGAGCTCATAAGCGTTAAGCAAATAACCAGAGAATAAGCAGAAAATATCATCCATAACAACAATTGACCTGAGCGATCATGCAAACAATAACAAATCATCACAATTGATGTTTTATTTTGTAGCTTTGCTTATGATCCATGACTACAACTAAACTAATGCTCTTAAGGATTTAGAGCAAGTTTGGTTAGGATTAAAAGTTCACTTAATTATAAGTAATTAAGCCCCGTTTGATTTAGATAAAAATTAATTTTATAATAAATTTTGATAAAATAATTGTTAACTTCGACTTATATTTTATTTTAACTTTTTAGCTGAACCAAACAGCAGCTAAGCAAAATTTTAAAACCAATAATTTTTTTTATTAGTTCATGTTAAAACTAAAGCAAGAGTTATTTTTGGTTAAATGGGTTTACTTATATGTTCAAGTAAATGGAACAATCAATTTTATTCATTACTCGCCCACACAAGGTACAGCAATGGCGGGTCTATTTATAGACCAAGCTAAAAGAGGGAAAATGAAAAACAGACTCAAACGAACTTAAAACAAACTATCCTTTTATTACAAAGAAGGACTGAACTATTTAAGAAGAACAATTAAGTCCCTGAAGAAATAATCTGTACATCCCCCTCAAGTTGGAGATTGATGAAAGTCCATTAATCCCAACTTGGACAGTAAGAACCGGAATTGAGGAGATGGAAGAGACTTGGTAAAAAGATCTGCAGCTTGATTAGAGGAAGAAATATGTTGAGGAAGAATTAGACCAGCCTTGTATTGGTTACGAACAACATGGCAATCGATCTCCAGATGCTTCGTCCTTTCGTGAAACACCGGATTGGCACTAATGTGGAGAGCCGCCTGATTATCGCACCAAAGAGGAATAGGAAGAACAGGAGTGATGAAAAGATCCTGAAGAAGATAAGTGATCCACTGAAGTTCACACACAGTAGCAGCCATGCTTCTGTACTCAGCTTCAGCAGAGCTACGGGAAACGGTCTGTTGTTTCTTCGATTTCCAAGAGATAAGAGCACCATCCAAAAAAATACAGTAGCCAGTCAGCGATTTTCTAGAATCCGAACAAGAGGCCCAGTTTGCATCACAATAAGCTGCAAGGTTGTAATTGTTAGAAGAAGGAAAAAAAAAGGCCTTTTGACAAAGTTCCTTTGATGTACTTTAGCAGATGTAATGCAGATTCCCAATGAGAGACAGTAGGGGAGTTAACGAACTGACTGAGTTGCTGGACCGCATAAGATAAATCCGGTCTGGTAAGATTAAGATAAAGTAAACGACCCACAAGTCTTCTATACTGATCAGGTTGGTGATATGAAACACCCTCAGCAGTGAATTTATGACCCTTTGGTAATGGAATATCCACTGGTTTGGACCCAATCAAACCAGCATCATTAACAATATCCATAGCGTATTTCCTTTGGTTGAGATAAAGACCCTCTGGGCAGCGAGCTATTTCGATTCCTAAGAAATACTTAGCAAGTCCCAGATCTTTGATAGTGAAGGTAGTGTCAAGAAAATCCTTAACCTTCTGAATTTCCTTATCATCAGTCCCAGTGATAAGCACATCATCTACATAGACAAGAAGAATCGTGATGGCCTGATCAGAATGGAGAATGAACAGACAATTGTCATGTGCCGATTGTGTGAAGCCAAACAATTGCAAGTGTTTGCAAAATTCTGAATTCCATTGCCGGCTAGCCTGTTTCAAACCATAAAGCGATCTCTTGAGTTTACAGACCTGACCTTCCTCAAGTGTTTTGTAACCCTCTGGAGGTTTCAAATAAATTTCTTCATCCACAAAGCCATGTAAAAATGCATTATTTATATCAAGCTGGAATACGGGCCAATTTTGTGCAGAAGAAATGGCAAAGAACATTCTGATAGTCACTGACTTCGCCACAGGTGAGAAGCTATCAACATAGTCAATACCAGCCACTTGATTATATCCCTTGGCAACTAACCTGGCTTTACATCTGTCAAGGCTCCCATCAGGTTTTAATTTAGCTTTGTAAACCCATTTAGTTCCAATGGTATTCTTTCCTTGAGGCAAAGAAACAATCTCCCAGGTGTTGTTCTGTTCCAGTGCTGCAAGTTCATTCTCCATAGCTTGAATCCATTCTATCTTTGTGCTAGCCTCTTTATAAGATTTGGGTTCTTGGATTGTAGAGATGTTAGCCAGAAAATGACAATAATTTGACCCAAAAGTCAGAGATGGATGAAAAGGATAAGTGTTAGGAGTATAAGGAGATGATTTTGATGTTTCAGGCAGATGATCAGAGAACGGAATAGAAGATGAAAGATTGCTCACAAAGTCCTGCATCCAAGTAGGAATGGTTTTTGTTCTGGTACTCTTTCTGGTTTGAGGAAGTGGTTGGGTATGAATCATCTCATTGGAATTAGATTTTGAAGAATCAGTAGATTGATTGCCCTGTGTTTGACTGAGATCATAGGTAGCCATAGGTTGGTTAATAACAGGGGAACTAACAGATGAAGGTTGAGCATCAAAATGGTTTTCAGAAGAACTGGTATCTGATGAAATATCAGAGAGCATATCAGGTGCAGGTATAGGAACAGAGGGTTTTGAATTAGGAACCTCTTTATAAGGAAAATTATCCTCGTGGAAAATAACATCTCTAGATATAAAAATTTGTCTATTTATAATATCAAAAAGTTTAAAACCTTTTTGCCCTATACTGTATCCAAGCAAAACACATTTAAAACTACGTGGTGCAAATTTTTCTTTAAAAGGTTTAGTGTTAGTAGCATAGCATAAACTCCCAAAAACTCTCAGGTTTTGATAGGTAGGCAATTTGTTATGTAAAATTTCATAGGGTGTCTTCCAGTGAAGCAGGGCAGTAGGCAATTTGTTGATGATGTGTGTTGCCATCAAGATCGAATCTCCCCAAAACATTTTTGGTAAATGTGATTGAAACATAAGGGCTCTAGCAACTTGTAAGAGATGCTTATGTTTTCTCTCAACAATTCCATTTTGTTGAGGGGTGTAAGGGCAACTCTTTTGATGTAAAATACCATTTTCAGCCAAGAATTTCTGCAATTCGAAATTAGTAAACTCAGTTCCATTGTCAGTCCTCAAGCATTTTATGTCCTTTTCAAATTGGGTTTTGATAGTTTTGTGAAAGTTTTTCAAAATGCTGAGGACTTGAGGTTTGTGTCTGATTAAAAAAGTCCAAGTGCATCGACTAAAATCATCCACCACAGTTAAAAAATAATGTGCCCCACATATAGCCCTATGTTTATATGGTCCCCATAAATCAACATGTAGAATTTCAAAAGTGCTAGATGTCTTAATATCACAACTATTGAAGGATAATCGATGTTGTTTGGAGAAAGAACAAACATCACAAGGTGAAAGAATTTTTTTTTCAAAAGGTTTTATCAATTGCAGATGTTGCATTACATTGCTGGAAACATGTCCAAGCCTTCTATGCCAAAGGATAACAGACTCACTTCTGGTTTCATTATTATCAACAAGTGAAGAATTATTTGAAGAGAAAGCATTACAGGAAATAGAAATGAAAGACTCAATGGTAGAAGGATAGAAAGAGGTCTGATCAAGTATATATAAGTTCTTTATCAACCTTCCTACAGCTAGTATCTTCTCAGTCAAAAGGTCCTGCAAAAGGCAATAATCCTTCATGAAAACGAATTTCAGGTTTAAAGCCTTGGTTAACCTACTTACAGATAGGAGATTAAACCTGAAGGTGGGAATATGAAGAGTGTCAGTGAGGATGAGATTATCATGTAAATGGACATTACCAAAGTGTTTGACAAAATTCATAGTGCCATCAGGTAAGAACACAGGAATGGATTTGTTTGCTGGTACAGGATTTTTAAGTGAAGAAAGGTCATTGCACATGTGATTAGAGGCACCAGTATCCACAATCCAAGACTTAGATCCTATTTCATTGGAAGCACTTAGAGCAGAATTAAAATCAAGCTTAAGAATCGAACCTGCAAAATCGTCTATATGAGCAAAATTTACTCTGTTTCCAGAACTGGTTCCTTTTTCATTCACCATTTTCCTCAGTTCCTGTTTGATGATTTCTGAAATATTCATGGTTTTGTATTGGTCTTCAACTCCTCCAGTGTTGACTTCATCTCCTAATTCCAATGGTGACTCTGCCATGTATGATACAAACTTTCCTCCAGCCTTTCTCTTCTGTTCATTTAGTTGTTTAAACCAATCTGGATACCCAATCAATTTAAAACAGCAATCTCTGCTATGTCCTGCGATATTACAATTTGTGCAAATCTGATTTCTCTTTTCCTCTTTACTCATTTCAAACTTCCTACCATATCCTCTACCTCCTCCAAACTTCTTATACCCCTGTGTCTTAACATTCATAGCACTAACTTCAATATGTTCTCCATAGGATATTTGAACCTCCCTTTGTTTTTCAATTCTTTGGATCATTGAGTATGCTTTATTTACAGGTGGCAAAGGATCCATAACTAGGATTTGGCTTCGTGTAGGTTCATATTCATCATTCAATCCCATTAGGAACTGCATAAGCCTATTGAATGATGTTATTTCTGATACTGCCTTAGCTGAATTACAGGTGCACTCAGGTATAGGCATTAGAAAAGTTAATTCATCCCACAACCTCTTCAACTTTGTGTAATATTCTGAAATCGACATATTACCTTGCGAGATAGAACTGATTTCTCGTTGAATTTGATATAACATAGGACCGTTGCAAGTCCCAAACCTCTCTTCAATTTCCATCCATAACTCTCTAGCAGTGCTGGTATACAGGAATGCTTCAACAATTTCTTTTGAAATCGAGTTCAATAACCACGAAGTAATCATATAGTTGACTCTCAGCCATTTTTCGTAATTTGGTGAGGTTTTCTCCGGCGTTTCCACACTTCCATCAATAAGCCCTAACTTCATCTTCGCTCCAAGGGCTATTTTTACTGATCTACTCCATGCTAAAAAATTCTTACCAGTTAATTGTGCTGTAATCAATGTCATTCCCGGATGATCCGAGCTATGAAGAAATAGTGGATCTGAAGTGATTACTTCATTCTGTCGTCCATTTCCTAGATCTGCAGGAATCAGATCTATGTTTTGATTCCAAGCCATTGCAGCTCAGTCCTGAGCTAATCTTCCTCCTCCTTTACTAGGTATGCAGCTCGCGGTTCTGAATCCCAGAATCTACCTCTCTGATACCATGTTCAAGTAAATGGAACAATCAATTTTATTCATTACTCGCCCACACAAGTACAACAATGGCGGGTCTATTTATAGACCAAGCTAAAAGAGGGAAAATGAAAAACAGACTCAAACGAACTTAAAACAAACTATCTTTTTATTACAAAGAAGGACTGAACTGTTTAAGAAGAACAATTAAGTCCCTGAAGAAATAATTTGTACATTATAAATAAATAAGTTTTAGCATCAACAAAAATCTCAATGGTAAAAGTGAAAAATAAATAACCATTAATTCAACAAAAGTAGCTTTTTCTTAATTAAAAGTAAAAATGACAGTTATGTGAAAACATGTTTTGACATAATATTTACCCAAAAAACTTTCCATAATTTCAAGCTTTAGCCAAACATGCTCCAAGTATTTTCTTCTCACTACGAGCTAAATCCAACTTATATTTTTTAAGCACGGCCAAACATGCTTCTTAAAAAAATACGTCTAACTCGCTTTTTTAAAAAAAAATCAATTATTTCATTAACATTTATTATTTTTGCGATACAAATTTCTCAATATAATTTTCATCATTTTATTAGGAAATTTTATATGAAATATAACATCAAAAAATTTTGAAATTTTACATCCGAAAAATTTATATTCTATGTAAATTTTCGGATGCAAAATTACACGGGGTATGATTTTTTTTGAACGTAAATTTTTTTTTGGTAAAATTTCTCCCAATTTTTTTGCAAGTTCGATTGTGTTTCCTAACTTCAAAGCTATGCGTCCGCCCCTGTATTCTATTTTAAATGATGTCGATCCAGCAAAAATTTCAATACCTTGGATGCACCGGATTTTCATCTTCATGTGATAAGGCCAAGAAGTTCCCATTGGGAACGTTATAAAAGGTCGAATCGAATCTCCATGAACGGTATATTTCTGCAATTTCTTCTCTAGAACTGTTCGGATGGGACTTCCCCGGAAAAGGAAGAATCAGTTCCTTGGGAGGTTTACTAATTGATTTTTCAAAAACAGCCAACATTTCGAAGCAATAACTTGAAGATTTTCAGGCAAAGTGCAGAAAAACTTTTGTTTAAGTTTTGAATCAAGATTCAATGGATTCTCCTTCGTATAATCCCTATATTTGTTGCTGGAAATGAGTGGTGAAAAGTGACGTGGGTTATATGCATGTGGCAAGTTTATGGGATTTGAGGTTTTACGAGTAACGAGAGAGAAGATGACTGTGAGTCCGTAACAGTCAACCTAGGGATGACAAATGGGACGTGTCACTCGTCAATCCGTGAGATGGACTCATCCCCATTCTATTTAGAGTGATGCTACATGCATATATCGATACATACAGAGTTTTACGCCCTCTCATATGGAGGGAGGTTTGTGTACAATAAAATATAAATCGTTGTGTACATTCTAAAGTGTACAAGAAACGTAATCCTTCTATTTATAGGTGGCTCTGACTTGGCATGAACCAAGTCGAGTTCAAAATTTTTTCACCAACCAATTTGTGGACCGACTTGATTTTTGTCTCCTTGGATTTACTTTATTAACTTCTTTGAAAATAATGAGCTAGTTAGCGGGTTCATGGAGAAGACAAAATTGTTTCAAATACCAACAGAACCGAAAGCACCTCTTCTTTCAAACACTAGCAATTGATAAGAGGGAATTTCGCCTATCCAGAGCTGGAAGAAGCAATTCCATTCTTAATGATGCCCCACGCAGCAATCCTTTCAAGCAAAAGCTGGTAAACAACACGTTGAACCCTTCTATACCCTTCTTAGATAAGCACAAATCACCAGGGACGGAGATCTTCAGTCTATCGTTTTCCAAATCATTGTACCTCACCTAATAACATTGGTCTTATTTTTGTTCAAAGAGATTATTCAGCCAAGATTGATTCTGTCGAGGCAACTCTCTTGATCTTGATGTCGAAACTAGGGTTGGTTAATTATAAGTTAGAGGGTAACCGATCTCCATTCTTGAGTCTCGATTCAACGAACGGATTGATTGTTCCGAACCTGACATGGTTGCACTCGCTTTTTGGTTGACTACCTACGTCATTATCTCTCTTAATCCCCCATCCTGAAATCTTGGGTGCCTGTAGCCGCATTTAGCTAGCCCCTTAAGCTTCTCACGTCGATACAAGAAGGACTACAACTACTTATAGGGTGCTAAACAGCTCTTGCATAGATACTTGAGTAAAGTCGGGAAGGTATAGGTTTGTTATGAATGACCCAGTATCGAATACAGGTAATAATATCAGCAAAAGAACGTTTTCCCGTACTTCCAGACATGCTGAGCTCCACATATTCCTTCGGGAAGGTATAGGTTTGTTATGAATGATCCAGTATCGAAAACATGTAATAATATCAACAAAAGAACGTTTCCGTACTTCCAGAGAGTTTGACTTGGCTCATAAAGCCCACGACACTAATGGTCAAAGTGAATCAAGCTCGACTATCTAAAGATCAAATCGAATCAATTCAATCCATTGTTACCCTATATTAATTATGAGTCTGTTTGTTTCCAATTAAAAATATAGTTGTTATTAGGTCACACTCGTTTAATAAAAATCAATAATAACATCTAATTTTTCAATTTTAATTCAATTTTAATTTGTACCAAAAATTTTCATCTTATACATCATTTTTAAAACAAAACAATTACTCACTTTCCCATTATTTTCATCTTTCCCTTCTGTAAATTTCGAAGAATTATAGAGCATAATGATTCCACAACAATGGACTCCGCCTTGTAACAATAAATGGTATGCTGCTCTCACGCAAAATTCCCTTTATAATTTTCTCTCTTCTCCCCTTTTAATGAATTATATTTATGCTATGTATAAAAAATGACTGTTAAATTGGTTCCCCTTTCCCCTTTTTGTTTGCTAGTGTTAGAAATCCCGTCTATGTTTAACGTAATTGCGTTATTGAGAATGAGGCGTAGTTTGTTGATGTTTGCTGGAGCGTTTAATTTGCGCTTGCTTTACGTTTAAGCTCTTTGTTCTGATTCGTTTTTGTTGTAATGTATGTGAATTTTTGGAGTGATCAGAAACTTTGCGGGATACGTGGGTGAAGAATTTGTCAATATTGGTGTAAAATATTTTCTTGAGAAGTTAATTTACTGTTTCATTTTAGAAAATATTGCAAGTTATAAGCATCTAATGAGCTATGGAGAATTGGGATTCTGGAAACGAAGAAGAATGAGTATCATACCGAAAATGCAGTGAGACATGATCCATATTTTCAAATTGAATTGTATTGTATTTTAGTCTTTGATTCTGATCTTATGAGAATTGAAAGCTACCAGGTCTATATATGGTTTGTAAGGTTCGAGAGTTCTATTTGGGATCATTTTAAACAATTGTATAATATGCGAAACCCTGTTGCGATTTTTGTTGCTTTCATGTGCTGTAATGTTAGATGCTCACATCTTTCTAGCATGGTACTCAAAATAAACCATACTACTATGGCCTATGGTTCTTTGCCAAAATGATACAAATATTTAATTTTGAGCCAGTATGAATGAATTATCTGGAGAGTGTGAATGGGTTTTTTAACATAATCATACTGCGGTTTACGATTAGTATATTCGAGCTGAATTCCGTAAGTGAAAAAGTACATTAAGAAAGAGTCGTTGGGTTTGAGTATGCTGAAAAATAGATGAAAAGGATGGAAGCCATCTGTTTATAGATTCAGAAGTTCAGATATTATAACCTATGGACATGAGCCAAGATTTTTGAGTGCATCATTGCCATGTATACATTCCAAAGTCAAGTTGTTTTATTTTGGGCCTATTGTTGGGTCAGATTTCAGGGGCTATTGCTTTTTGCATTTTTCACTTTAGTTGGACTCGTCGTGCTTTCCCGACTTCATTTGTTGTGAAGTGGTCATATGTATTTAAACATTCCCTGGATTGCAAAAAGGGGTGCAACTCTAATGGAGATTCATGGGAAGAATGTAAGTGTAAATTTCCCGTATTGATCTCTTTGTTTATGGACATCTACTAAACGTGGTGCGTGCACATTTCTTGTAAAAATCTATGGAGTCCTGGATTTGGAATTGCGAGCTTACTTTTGGTAATACTCGCGTGTTATAATTTCTACCATATGTTATAATTTGATGAATGTCTTTTGGTCCTCCATCTGGTATATTTATTGCCTTTTACGTGTCTAAAATTAAAAACTACTTTCATATGTTTTCTGCTTGCTGACAGAGTTTCTACTTTCTAGGTTATATATTTGATTAGCATACTCAATGTCTTTTACTTGATTTATTTGCTCCAGTGGTTATATCCTTTTGTCGAACATTTTAACAATTCATATCCACCCACAGTCACAAAATCGTCACCTGGATGATTCTTGAAGAATTAGCAGTTGGTAATCATTTTGGAACAAATTGAACAAATGACCATATGGATATTCAGGTCTGGACAAGTGTGATGAGATTTGCTACAAAGACCCAGTTTTGAAGGACCGGCCATGGAGTGCTTACATTGATAGTTCTCCCGGTTCTGCTTGTTATTTGGAGGTTTGATTTTTTGCTTTGTTTCCTCTAGATCAGTAGCCCCTTTGTACTTTCTTGCTCATATCTAATGACTTGGTGCACAGAGGTTGGGTGTTACAATGCAAGATTGAAGTACACAGGAAAAAAAATGGTGATAGATCACTAATTACCCCCTTATATTCGAATTAGATACATAGGAAATCAGTTATTTTACTGATTAATTATATCTCCTCATCTTCTTCTCTTTGTGCAGGAATGCTTTCTTGCTTGTGTATCTGGCTGTAGTTACAAGATTAGTTCATATCTGTCAATAGAGTTTGAGTTCATTTTCTAATTTTACTTTGAAGCTGTATTGGAAGTGAAAACTGATGAAATAATTACAATAGAAAGCCACCGAAAAGATACTTGAACTTGGTACAATGTCAGCATTTTTGCTCGATTTCTCTAGCAGCGAAACAATGACTGCATATTTTAACCGTTAGGCCCTCCCCACCCCGTGTCTTCAACATGCTTCCATATTTTATCTATTTTCTTGTTGCCTGTGGTGTGTTAGTACTTATATCTATTCAGCTCATTATATCGAGTTAAATTTGCATAACACGACTTGTTTTAGTTGCAGTTCGATATTCCTTCAAGAGGAAGTCGATCAAGTTCCTTCAAAGAGACCAGCAAAGCTTCCGATCTTAGAGAAGCCGGCTCCTCCTGTTGTCGACTTCATGCCACAATCCCAATCCAATCTAATTTCTGAAGATGTACCAGGTACTTCTGCATAGCCAGGAAAGAAAAAATTTGAACCACCTTAACTTTTGTCATTATAAAATTTATTACCACGACCTATTACCTATAGTATACCAGTCAGAGGAGATAACATAGAATAGTCCATGTGTTTTTATCTCGAGTTAGAAAATTATTCGAATAGAGTCGAGAAAGGTGATTCATGTACTCGACCCCAAAGTAATGTTGTTTAAAGAAAGTAAGAAACTAAAATGAATGTAACTCAATTCATAACTTCTTCATAACTTGATAAAAAGCTGTACAATCTGCAATTACAGAAAGTGAAACATCAAAATCTCCACCCTCAACCAAAACTGCTCTCTCACAAACAATCAAGAAAACTGCGTCGTTTGGCATGATTGTGGACGACCGCCAAAAGAAAATATAGAAGATAAAGAGTGAGCCAATCCCGAAACAATAGCCACCTTCACTTGCCCCCTCTTTGGAATCGGACGGCCATATTCGATCCTCTTCAGCAAATTTCCGCCGTTGATCATTTCTCTCCTTCCTCCTGCCATTTCTACTACTGTATATGGAAAGTTCTTGCTCAACAAATTTAGTACTAATGTTTAAATCTTGTATTGTGAAGATTAATGTTGTGTGTGTCAAAATATATATACACAAAACATTTCTAAAATGCCCCTGGATCTTGAAAAAATTACTTTACTCTTTTTTTGGCCTTTTGTCTTTTTTCAATTTGGTGGCACTAGATAAAGAGATATGTTGGTGGGAGCAAAAGCAGAAATAAATTATAATAAATTATTGCTTTTTGCTTAAAAATCACATGGGATAATTGGTTCCACTTCTATATATATATATATATATATATTGACATGGACCATGGTGGCTATCTGTTAAGATCCTTGATATTGAATGTACATTGAATTAGGACAAGTATTTTACTAGGTTCTATGTATGAGGAAAGCCTCCTAAATTATTGTTTGAAGTAGATTTTACTTTTTTTTAATTAATTTATTTATTCCAAAAATGGGTTTTTGGTACCCATGCTTGGGACCGTTGATGAATAAATTATAGTTGGTTGACAGAGAAATTTTGGGAATTTTGATTTCTTGACTCTCTTCTCATCAAGCAATGTGTGCGACAATTGTTCGCTTCTTACTCTTCCTTATCACGAGATTTCCACCTAAAATAAAATGTGCAGTATCCAGTCGTAGACGACCGAATTGCTCCTCACAAACCTTCATTTGGTGAAATGAACGATGTGTAGAGGAAATGGACACGGGTAAAATGGACTTTCTGTCTTCCAAGATTCCAAGCCTCGATTATGTATTAAGCCTCCGTTTGTTTATCATTTTTCATCCATAAAAATGAAAAATATGACCGTTATCCATTACTTCAAGTCATCAATTTTGAATTTTTTTCTCTTATGTGAGGCTCAATAACGACTATATTTTTCGTTCTCATTCTACAATAATGAGAATCAAATTGGCCCTAAATGACTCTCTAGTATGAATTAAAGAAAATTTAAAAATTCATTGTGCGAAGTTTTTTGTTTGGATCAAAACCCTGCACGAAACTATTTGTTTGGCAAATTTATAAATGGTTTAAAAATATCGACAATAATAAGTCTTGCGAAATGTATTAGATACTGGGTTAATTTCACAAATGGTCACTGAAGTTACATGAAAATAACAAAACGGTCACTGAAATTTCAAAGTTTCAGAAACGGTCACTGAAGTTTGAGATTTCTTTCACAAACGGTCATTGAATTTTCAGATTTTTTGGGCAAGTTTGAGGCAATTTTTCGACAACGTCCGACCACCA